GGTTGTTCAGGGTTAATGATGGTTACCCTCTGGTAATTTAACATAGCTATTGAAAATGGCCATTTATAGTGGATTTTCCCATAAAAAATGGTGATTGTCCATAGCTATGTTAAATTACCAGAGAGTACCTTATAAATCGTTAGTATAGCTCGTTGCAGGGAGGGAAGTTCAGAAGTTCATAGCATGTTTCCCCGTGCTTTGCAACAAGCGATTTCCGGAGACTGGACCATGAAGCACGCACAGCGTCCCAACATGTTTCAACGGGGGGCCCGAGAAAATCAGAAACAACAGCCAACATGGTCGTTAAATGATGGTAATTTGATGTGACATGAATGTAAATGGGACCAGAAATAAAGTACGGGTCGCTGGAACCCCTCATGGAGACTTGCTGGTCCAGGTTCGACGCATGCAATGCAGTAGTTTTCCAGGAATGCTTTGCTTTCAGTCCGAACAATGGGATTTAGCTCCCCAAATACCAATGCTAATGGGGAACATGTTTTTCTAAACCGCTGGGATTTAGGGGTACACTATTTTCAGACAAACCCAAAAAGCTTTCCAAGGAGACATTGAAAATAATCGTGTTGGCTCTTCAGCCAGGTCTCAGGGTACTGTGAGCCAATCCATCCCCATTTCAAGTCTGCAATCATTTGCCAGCAATTTTTGATGATCCTGAAAGAGATCTTCTGGCCTTTGAAGATGTTTCGACGTGCCCGTTTCAATCAAGACCAACTCTCGCCACGCAAATTCGATTACTTCGGGCAATGGCTATGGCAAAGTAGCAACATCTTCCTCATCTACGCAGGAACAAACATCACAACAGCAAACCATCAACAACCGACCATCAAACCACCAGCCCTGCCTGGGCAGGTCCTGTTTCGACACACAGGAGGGGTGGACTGTTGGGATGTCACTGGTGGCCATTCTTGGCTTACCGTAAACCGTACCAAAATTATCCAAAATTCAACTGACTAATAGGTATGGTTAGCAAATTACCCAGAAAGTAACTGGATGTAAGTGGATCTACAACGAAATGTCTGCTGAATGATGTGATGGGTTTTTCTGAACCCATGCTACGAGTACATTTTATGTATGTAGACATGATTGGTGTTTCTTGTTGCCCATGATTCTTACAGTAATTGCTGATCACTACTCTCGGATTCACAGCTGGAAATTCGAAATCCTTTCACATGTCCTTGCTTAAATCCACAATGGGGAACCTAGAAACATGGCTGTCAAAATAATCTCAGGCCCTTACAATTGTTGGATCTCAAGATCTGAGAATCTTAGGGGCAATCCATATCCCCCTTCACCAAGCGGTTTCAGAGCACATTATCCAAATATTGTCAGCCAATAGTCCAGTAGATTTTCCCAAAACAGAACAAACATGCCTACAACTATTGGTCACAAGGACAGTCCACCATAGATTTCCAGATATTAACGCCAGATACTCCCAGAATCTCCCAGATATTAATTCCATCAACTCCTTTACCCTTTGCCCCGCGCTGTATTTTGTCTCAGGCGCGTCTGAAGCCGCTCACGACACCGAGCTACTTGAGGAAATCAAAGAGACTGGACCTCACCGTGACCTCACCTTGTACAGGATCATCAACAGATTGTTCTGTGATGTTATATTATGCTATTTAATACATACTATGACCCAAATATTTTTTGGGAGGAGGTATACCCCATTTTGAGACACACCTAATAGACTTATCATGCTTTTGAAATAGACATGTAAACATGCTACATATCTGTCCTCACGGAAACACATGCTTACTATGGCAAACCATTGTTGGCCATGCGGCGCAATACCCGTATTTCTCTGAAACTAACCCGGATGTGGGTAAGTACGCCAAACACCACTTGTATGGGTAGCGTTGCGTAGAGGCATTGGAATAGTATCATTCCGATGTACTCATACTCCAGCATTCTAATTATACATATTCCGATGGAACTTGTGTAATATGAATATGGCGTTCTCACATAAACATCTCCAATCTACAGCAAAGGCAGTGTCACAGGTTGCAAGGGCCCTAGTTTTGGAACATACCTGTCAGTAGGAATAAATCGGGCGTGGAACCACCGGTACATGTTTGACAAGCTGTATGTATGCCATGTAGGCATATTATATGTATATATATTTATATTATATATATATTACATGTATATTATATATATATATATATATATGTATTATATATATATATATATCTATGTGTGTATCTTCGTATATCAGCTAGAGTCTAGAGATACGCAATAGTCGGTTTTCTGGAACTATGAAGAAAACATGACATAATACTACTACAAATCTATAAATAATCATGCTAATACATATAATTGTATCACATATAGCTTTATATATATATATATATATCAAATGCATTGCTAGGCCACGTGGGACATCTTGCTACCATCAACAAATATAATATTACATATATACACGTATTGCTGCTCACAAACATCCCCACCAATGCACTGTGTTGTGCGTTCAAAGAATTCCAGACATTTGTCATACATGTATCTATAGTTTTTATGTGGATATAATGTATACACATATATAGTTATATATATATATTATACATATGTGTCTTGCATCATGCATAGCATCCTCACCATCGTCAACATAAGTATCGAATCGGACTATGTGTCGCAAGCGCTCACGAGAGCCATGAACACGCTTCTGATCTGCCGTGGCTTCCTATCCCAGCCTCGATGACCTGTTTATCTCAACTATCTTTGAGGTTGGAGACAGGGCATCATTGCTACTCCCCACCGAATACACACCGAAAACAGAGTCATCCCCGAGTTCATGGCAGACTATGACAAAACAGGACAAACCTCCCAGGCCCTTTGACCTACAGGTGCCTCATTCTTTGACTTTGAAGCCCTTCAACTCTAATACAGGTATCAAATTCTGATCCATGCCCAAATGCACCAAATCCAATTCAAAGGGCGCTGCAGGAATGACTCTCATTGCAAATACTGAGCGAGAGCATATGCTCTGATGTTTCTCCCTCAAAGTTTGGATACTTGATTCTTATTGGGGTGCCATCCAGTCCCAGAAATCTAAGCTATATCATGATGGTATACATATATATATATATCAATTGATTATGTATATATATATATATATGTATATATTGATTGTGTTCATACTGCACAATAATTTAAAGGATCAACAAACACAAACCCAACAGGAACATGTATACACATATATATATATAGTTCATATATAATTATATCATATAATGATATAAATATGTACATAAACCGTATAAACATATACGAAACAACGCAGAAACCAAATTTTTGGTCCTCTCTGCTGGACCGGTATTTGAAGGCAGGCCCCCAGGTTTAGCCTGACGAAATGTGTGATAGATCTATGTGGATCTGTTGAAATTGTATATTTTGATAAGTCTAAAATAGTCTGAATATGTTTTCTCTTTATTTTAAATTCGTCTTGATATCATACTTTGTGGTTATAGCATGTTATGTATTTATTTTTCATTTTGGGAGACAGTCCGCCATGTTTTCTTGCGATCTGGGGGGGATGGGATTCTCCATCACAGTGCACAAATGCTGCTGTGATCTTCAGATGTCATATCTCCGGCTTCAAATGTGGAGGTAGACTCTGCACAATGCGTGTCCTAGGTGCGGCGTTTGCGGTCATTTTTGAGAGCTTTGGCATTTTTTGGCATTTTTTGGCATTTGGATTGGATCCACACCCATTCCGCATTCTCGAGAACATCTTGAAATGACCCGAGGACGTGAGAGGACTGAGTGATGATAGTGATGCGATCAGCCTGGACCCGGAACTTATACAATTCCCTGCTAATCAAAGGGGGAAACTTCTCTGATGGTGCGGGCATTCACTCATTTCTGTGGACGGCGAGTCCACGTGATGTCAAACTGCCTAACCATCTCTGTAGATCACTACTTGGGGGTGCATCCTTAGTAAATGTCTTCTACCCCCAGCTATATATATATAATTATATTCTATATATGTACTATAATTATATGTAATATCCCACTTATATATTGGATTATATGGGTTATAAACATTTATGAACCACTTACTAAGTGGCATGCACATGCAAGTAGTAGTGACTTAGTAGCGTCTGTTTCCAGGTTGGTGGATCAAGAAAAGATACTTAGTCACATCACAGTGATCTGCAATGGACTCGAAACATCATGGGTCACCATCATCTTACCTCTGTTCAGCATTGCCTACATATTGGACCTAGGGCTTGTGCACGTGAACATCATTTTGGGGGTTTAGGTGATGTTCACCAAAAGCCACCCCGTTTTACACGTTGGTAAAGGAACCCCTGTAATTATATACCAAAGCAACACTTCTGTACAGAAGTGCTTCCAAAAAACGGAGAAGGCCCTTGAACAATTTTTCTCTCCCTTTTCCAGGAAAGTGAAACATCCGCCTCTAAGATTTCAATGGTTCTCGCTTTGGCACACCGCTGAATTCAACGTCTCAAATGGCATCTACACGTCCAGCCCCTGGGACTCTTGTTGTCATCTGAAGAATTCCTCAATTCAAATGATCAACTTCAGAAACCATCGAGCAAGGTTTTCCCATCATTAATTGTTTTTTTTTTTTGACACTCACAAGTGTTGTAGGTTACACTCCTGAAATTTGGAAACTGGGGGTGAATTCATTATTTCATATGGCCCGCGTTGGACTCGGCAAGCAGCATCTTTTTTTTCGAAGGGGGGGCCGCCCAGCACAAGGCCGCAGAACAGCGATAGTTCCAAGGATCAAATATGTCATTCAATATTTGGCTGAAGGATTTCCAAAAAAAAAGTAGTCCGACCCCCCGATTCAGGTTCAACCAAACATGTCCAAGATTATCCCACATGGAAGATACAAATCCGACATCAACTCATCATTGCTGAGGTATAAACTCATTGTTTGTTCACAAAATCACCATTTCTCCAGGAGTAATGCCCTAAGAAACCCACCACCCACAGCAAGTTTCCGCGTCGGCTTAAAGCACCACGACGTCCACTGGTGCACCGCTGGCTGCAGCCACTTTCGCCGCGGCCGAGTGGCCTTGGGGCATGAACGGCTAGAAGTTCCATGAAATTCCACCATTTTCCAAAATTGTTCTGGTGTTTTTGAGAGGATTCGACTCATCTCCGAGTCAAGATCGGTCAAAACCCTGGTAGCTTATGGTGTTATTTCATGTTCATCCCACGGACTGCTGTGTGTATGTGACTTCATCTGTCGATGTGAAAACGTTGTGCGTATCTACGGGGCTTTTTATCAACAGGTGCATGCTGCTTTATTGAATCCAATCGACCTGTCCAGGTAATGCCATAATCCATTCTCAAACTGTGAAGTCACTCACCATTTTTCCTGGATAAATCACCATTTTTCCTGGATAAATCACGATTTTTGCTGGAATTTTGTTGGAGAAATCACAATTTTTGGTTGCATCCACTCATCCCATTGCACCATGCCACGCGTGACCAAGGCATTCAGGACTTCCGCATAGCTCCATGTCAGGTCCTTTAGGTCGATTCTGAGAAGATCAGGTCTTAATGTTATTTAATGTTATTTATACTGTGGATGGGCCAGCGAAATCCGAATCACCAGTTGATAGATGGTAAACATCCCATTATTTTTGATGGGTTTCAACCATCCTTTTGGTGGTGCAGGATTTCGCAATCATTCACAGTATCAATTATAATTGTGATTTTCTTACCTATATAACAATCGATAGTCATTAGAGTCATTATATTATGGTGTTTGTTCATTGCGAATCGGATGTTGATGATTTATCATTTCGGATGGTTGAATCGTCGAACATCATCGAAATGGGCCATCTATAACGTAACATACTTATTTACTGTTTATTTATATATAGATGATATAGATGACTTACCTATACCAATGGTGATTTTGCAGTTCGCAAACTGAACCCATTACCAGAGTCAATGGATTGGTTTAAGGAAAAATCTACAGGAACCCCACTATATTCCACAGAAAAAAACAAGGGTTTCCTGTAGATGTTAGATGTTCCCTTAAATTGAGCCATGTCCATAGTGTGTGGGTATCATGTTCTGCCCCATGCAAGTCACAATACCTGCCTGACTGAGCAACAAAAAGTATCTGAGTATATACAGTCATCCTGGAGTAGATAGGATATGGACATAACAAAAACATTCCCAGTTGATTGCGTTTTTTGTTGGAACATTTCATATTCTATCTACTTCAGGATGAGAATAATTCGGCCTAGATTGAATAATCTGGGACAGAACTACCCTTCGTCTCCCCAACGAAGCGAAGCAGCCCGCAGCGTCCTTGGCATTGTACTGCCGCCCTGAACTTCGATCGATCTGCTCGAACAAATGCAAGTCATCCTGGACGAAAAAAAAACTAACCGGGAGAATTCATCACAAATCTAGACCAATCTCAACAATTATGGGAGCTGTATATACCAGGAAATATATGAACATGTTCATCCTTGACTATCGATCCTTTCATCGGACGCTCCATGATGTTCATCTTCCGGTTGAATTTGACTTTACCATGGACTCCTCCAATCGAGAACGAAAATCTACCATAGCTATCTAATCCAAGTCATCTGCAATTAGGGGATGAACTCTATTGCATATATATATATATATACATACATACATGTGTACATGTATATATATATATATGTATATATATATACATGTATGTATGTGTATATATAATTATATTTATATATATATGTATGCTTATATATATATATATTATGTTCTACCACCTGCCAAATGTATCCAAGTGTGCCATGATCATCTGAGAACCCAAACTTCTAAGTCCTTTTGCCCAGGTCGGCCAGGTCAATTTGAAGCTTCGTCTACCCATCAAAGTTTTGCCAAAAACAAACGAATCACATTGGAACAATGACCTGGCAATGAATCATTGGACTTTTGGAAGTTACTTTGATTTAACATGATTTAACATCCTTGTACACCATATTGTTCTGGGATTTATCCGAGTATTTACCATCATCATCATATAAAACTAGGGAACATTATAGATTTACATTCATTTACCATAATCTGTATGAAACTATGGACATTTCTCCAAATAGTCACCATATTTCACCATCTTTTTCCCCGGTGCCGAAACCCAGGCGGCTCCGCGGGCTCCGCGCCTCTTCACTGATGTGGTTCCGCAGTCTCATCAGAACCGAGTCACCTGGAAAAAAAACGTGGTGATCAATCACATATGGGTATGGATCAATACCTATTAATACCATTTTTAGGGGAATGAACATCCATTTACCAGCTATTTTGATGTTCACCAGGGGTACAAGGTTTTGACACACTGCCATATCCTGAAACCCCACTATACTGTATTCATGTTTTCACACGACTTATACATACTTAATACTATATTATATTCATGTATAATATTATGAACTTAAATGTGATTAATCAATGATAATCACAGTTGTATACCTTTGAGATAGCTAGCCAAAGTGACTCTCATTTCCTTGTGATTTTGGGGTTCGTTTCCTATCTGACAGGTACTGTAACTGGAAGATGAGGGTATCCTTAACTTGTGCAAACGTCAATGGATTGGAAACACATGCAAAATTCATGGAACTCGGAAAGTGCTCCAGCCAGGTTAGTGCCATTTTTTCCACGGCAATTTTCCAAATCAAAGTAATTATAGTATGGTAAAACAATAATTCAATAATAAAAATCCCAATTTCACTATAAATAGGTGGTATGGTTACCATTCCCAGTCATGGGCGGTTCGGTGGTTTATGACATTGTTTTACCCACATTAATAGTCATCACCATTAATAACCATCAGTCACCATTAATCAACATATATAACCATTAATATCTATATATATATATAAATATCACCATTAGTAACCATATATCACCATTAACATCCCCTAACCACATTATTTGTTCACCAATGGCTACCCCACTAGGCGGCCTGCCGCTAAGAAATCTCGAGGCGAGCCGTTGAAGCCGGAGCCTCCGTTCAAGGCGGCCTTCAGCGGAAAATCACGACGAGAAGGTTTCTTTCCGTGGAAACAGGGATTGGGTATTGAGATTATCTTTCTATAGATATACACTATATTATGCATATATAATTTATATTATATATATATATGTATATGTATGTATATGTATATATATACATACATACATGAATTGGTATGTTCATAATGGATACTAGATGTACCTGTATATCGGGATATGTTCACAGGAATTGGGCGACTGATACTAAGAACGGAATGATACACAATATATGTATATATTATATTTCATTGTATATATATATATTATACATATATTATTGTATTGATCAGTATATTTTCTGGTGTACACTAGAATATGTTTTTCTTACTATTGCGTATATCATACGACAATAAACCACGGGATATCACGCACTGCAAGGACCGGTGAAGAATATGGATGCAGCCAACATAGCTAGGCCATGCCAGGCTGATGGTCCATCAAAACCAAGGATATCAATCTCTATTCATTTTTGGATGGTCGGTATGGTGGAAAAAAACGATTCCAATGGAGGAACATTGAATTACCCTCTGGTTATTTAACAGTTCGCCATGGAAAATCACCATGCTATTAATAGGTAAACCATCTATTTCTATGGGCCATCTATACCATGGCTATGTTAAATAACCAGAGGGTAAAACCCATTAAATCCCATTAAACCACCATTTTCCTATGGTTTTTCTATGGTTTTCCATCTATTGATGGTTTATACCCATGATTTTCCCATGTTTTCCCTGGTCATTTTCTCCATCCAACTTGTCATAAACCTACCAGGTGTTCAGTTCACCGGCGAAGTTCTGACACTTCACGCGCCTTCCACGCGGCAAGCTCCTGGCGGAGCGGTCAACGCCGACGAGCCCTGTGTTCATTATATGTGCAAATGTAACTAAATATATGTGTAAAAAAGTCTAAATATTATAGATTTATATAAACATGTATAATACACACATCGGCAGAATTCATCACATATTTGTACTATTGACTTCTTATGTCAACATCTACAACTTATTATTGGGCTCTTGCAATTTTTAATCTTCAACGAGATAAGCCACAAAATGATGTCATTCAGCCATAAACCTAAAAGTTTACCTAGTGAACGGTGAAACAAACTGTGGCACCACCTTGTAGATTATGACTACAGTAGCCCAACTCGGGTAGATACAGTAGGCACATCACACGTGTCCTTCCATGTTTCAACATCTCTAAATTGTCGAACTAGTTAATTAATATCCTTTTCGTGGTATTGTCAAACCAACAAATTATATCAAATTATCATATGAATAGCATTTTGAAATTTTGGTTAGTTAGTTTGAGTAACACTAAGATTAACTAACCATAACTCAACAAATCATCGCAACAAGACCACCTTTGGATGCGCCTGGTGCGTCAGCGGTGTCGCACTGCTGGTCTCTGCAGCCTGGAGCGCTAAACTCTTATTCGTGAATAGATCGTCATGGTGTGTGATACAGAATGATATATATATATATGTATAATTATATATTTTTTTATATATAACTATATACATAATTATATACATAATTACATATGTTATATATATATATATGTATATACGTATTATATAATATAAATGATATGTATGTGTATGTTTATGTGTATGTTTATGTGGAATTGAGACTGACCCAAATTTTGCCGCATGTTTGGAGTTGTCAAGGGCGGTTGCTTCGGGGATCGCCATAGATTCCATCCATTTTTCGCTGGGCCACTGCCACGCTTCATCATTCCGCCGGAAAACATAAAAACATACACAAAACACTTCAATTAATTGGACATATTGGACATACATAATAAACAATTATATAATGGCAATGGGACGATGATCAGCTATTTTGGAACAAGCCCATCTAGTTAAAAGAATATCCTCTCAGTCAAAATCCGCCAATCATTTCAGCACTTTGTACTCATAATTTCACAATTAACCCCTCTGGTGGTTGCCTGGTACAGCAAGTTGGCTAAGGCCGCGGTGATCAAGACCCATGGATTGCCACCATCCTGTTCAGCCGCAGTGCAATGAAAGGCACTGGTTGCGAACAGGATTCCTATGGAAGGACCATGACAATCCCCAGAAAACCAGGTAGTAGAAGCCCTTCTACCCTCTGGTAATTTAACATAGCTATTGAAAATGACCATTTATAGTGGATTTTCCCATTGAAAAATGCCATTTTCAATAGCTATGTTAAATTACCAGAGGGTATATCATGTTCTATACCGGCTGATCAACATGATCAACCAGGATCATCTGGTCACTGCTCACCTATTGAGGGAAATGACATGTCGGTCATCCGAGGATGGGTCAAAACCATCTACAAGGTGGTGCCCCATAGTTAGCTAAGTTGGTTTATAAGTCCAATAACTAGGGTTTATGGGGGTTATATCTATAGTTAATGGGGATTATAAACCAACTTATAACTGAGGGGGGCACCACCTTGTACTATATTTCTGGTGAAGACCCGAACAGCTGGAACTCCCAAGGATTTATCGATAAACAAATCTCCTCTGAAAGAGGCCCTCTGGTATGATTAATGGGTTGATCCATATCCATATCCGCATGAACATGTTCTGAAACAACCCCTCACTCGGGTGAAACAAAACATATCTTCTAGTGAGTTGGTCTGAAAAATGAGTAAAGCACCCACCAAAATGTCATTGTTCATGCGCATTTTCCCCATTGACATTTGCATACAGTGGCATACAGGCCACGCGTGGACAAGCCCAAGGAGATGGAAAGATATATGATAAGCCCTGCAAAGCAAAGCCACCGAAGATCAAGTTTCAACATGTGGGTGCTTTTTTTGGTGCAACATGATATACCATAGATATACCATAGATATACCATAGATATACTATAGATATACCATCCACAATCATCCAAAAATCCATTGCTTCAGCCCATCCCAAAAAGAGCCGCCAGCCATTGCCTTGGCTCCATACCCATCTGCGGCATAGCGGCCATACAGGACACCTGGAATCCATCGTTCATCAAATGACTATAGAGATAACGTTAATGTGATTTCAGGACAAACCCAATGTGACAAGACATATAAACCCAACATATTTAGTTTTGTTGATTTCTTGGAACTTCCTTGGCTTCATTCGCTTTGAGGGCCCAAGAGAAAGCCCTGGAGAGTGCTGGAGAGTGTTATCCTGAAGATGACCAGCCCCTGCTTTGGTCGCTGTAACCCAGTGCTGACCAGTAGACCTACACTGTGCTTAGATGGTTTTTAGCATTCAACTATCATCAACTATCCATCTATCCATTGTGTTGGTTTTGGATATTTATTTTCACCATTCCCATCTCCATCTGCTTCTTATTGTAACATATTGTAGCTTGTTCCATGGAAATGTGGGCCCTAAAAGGGGACTGATTCCTCTGCTGAAAAAACCCTCATCTATCGGTTCGGTGTGTTCGGTCTCGACAGACTTTTCAAAGACAACTGACTGACTGCAATTTATTGATGCTTCAATTCAATTACTATTTACATCCCATTTCTGATTGTGAAATCTTCATTTTTCATGGCAAACTAATTGGTAAATCTCCAGATTCCATACCGTTCACCAGTGGCTTTGCTGCCCCGCGACACAAAAACACTGATGAACGGTATGGAATCTAAACTGGTTTTCACCATTGGATATGTGTTTTGTTTAGTCTCCAATGAACGGTGAGTTTAGCTGAGTCCAATCACATATTCTTCAATGATAGACTAAACAAAAAGCTCAGCTTAAATCCATCATGAATATTGACAATGAAATCAATGATCGACACCATTTTTTCGAGGATCAAATCTCTTTTCGTCAACGATGACAAAAAACCCTTTCGTAAAACGCCATGTGTCGATGATGAAATCCCCCAATGGGATTCGATTTGGTTGATAATTATACCATATGGATCCACATGGTGTGTCTGAAAACATGGTACTTCTAAAGTTCAAACACACCCCAAATTATAACAAAATAGCTAGACTATACATGTTCAAACCCCAAATTAAAACAAAATGGTATACAAATTATAGGTTTTGACCCACAACCATATTATCCATCCGACATTCCATAGTGACAACCCATGATTCCCATCAGTTGTTTCTGGATAAACATACTCTTATCCCATATGATTCCCATAAGTTGATTGTAGTATGCCTATGAATCTTCCATAGTATCCACATGTGATTCCTATGTGATCGCCATATCGACTGTCAGAACTTGCGGAACTTCGCTGGACTTCCCACCTGGCAATTGATTTTTGCCCTGACTCTCTGCGCGGTTTACTGCCTGCAGTGATGGCCCTGAAGGCCCTGGATGCGTCTGAAAACTGAAGGGTTGACTCCCCAGTTTATGGTCGTTTGTAGGAAACAAATTGGGTAAAACAATTGCAAAACTATCCAATTTCAAGGTTCCATTGTACTTTCAAAGAAAGCCGGATGGGCAAAAGGGGAACAACAGAAACACCAGCATTTTTTCGGAGTGAAATTCGGCGTTTCCTGTAATTAGATTCTCCCTCAAAATTCATTGGGTACTACAAAACATGGAAGAACATGTCATCAAATGTCATAAAATGTTTTGCACTCAATCAACTCTTTGTTACCTCCGGTTTCTGGATTTTCTGGTAAGTTGTAACCCCATTTGGTCGCCAAATTGTATGCAAATGTACCGATGCGTGCATTATTTGCTTTGCAGTAGTCAGCATTGAAATTGGAACAAGTATGTTCGCACCTACGCCACACCAAGAACATAAGGAGAAGCAGAAAACACCAAGGTGGAACCGAACCCCAGCAGTCTGCATCCTGAGGATCTTTTCAATGGCACCATGGATCCAAGCGGCATAAAGGCTGCAAAACTCCTTGTTGTACTCCTTTACAGTCTCCCTTAGCCCACAGGAGAAGGCTGTGGTAAGACTGGGGTCATAACCCAGTGCGAGCTATTCATGACATGCGAAGTTGTTCCCTCTTACCGCCCCCTCTTAATATGTTTATATGTAATTATACATATGCATATGATATGCACTTATGATCACTTATGTATATATATATATACATATAAATGTACACATGTACCTAACATATCTTAAGAAACCATCCTAAAACATCCTTCTTCCGTTGCGTTGAAGCCTCCAAACTCTTGAAGTCTGGGCAACAAAAAATATCCATGAGCCAACCCCCAAAGGTTCCCGAAGGTGAACCTGTATTTCATCATATTTCATCACATTAATGAATAAATACTCAAGTTCACCATTTTGATAACATATCAGGGTTCACATACTAATATGTATATATATATATACATGTAATATACATACACTACACCATTCAAACAATGTTTATAAGGAGTCTATTTCAAAATCATACTCTGATACTCACCACTTTTTTGTTGGAACCTAGTTCTGAAACATTTCATATAAGGGCTATAAACAATTATACATATATATATATATAAACCACAAAACCCATAAATACTCCTATAACATCCTATAACATCCTATAACATCCTATAACATCCTATAACATCCTATAACATCCTATAACATCCTATGACCATATGTTCCAATACACTATTTGGATGTCTCTTAAGGGTCCACCATCCGTCACATCCGTCTCGATGTACACCGTGTACACCGTGTGCCCAGGAACGCCACTCGCAGATCAGTGGGCAGGGGAACCGATGAATGCCTCGGACCAGATGATGATTCTATGGTAGATAAACTTAGTAATCATTGAGGCTAAATTGGGGCTTAGACGGCTTATATAGATAAGTGAGGATATATGTATATGTATATATATATATATATATTGTATATTATATATTTTATTATATATATATATTGATATTATATACATATATAAATTTAGATACTGTAATACCTCGTTTAAGTTGGTGGAGCTAGGTTGGGGCTACGTCTGGTGGACATAATATCCAATAACTATGGTAGAATATGGTACATATATCTGTGGATATCAATAATTAAGGTGGCTTATAAACCAACGTAGAACTGGTGGTCCCACCTTGTGTACCCAAGTTCAACTCAACGTTTACTCTTGCGTTGATTTAAACATGTGGACATTTTCTGAACATTCTCTGAGATGATGAATCTGGGGATATTAAACCACCAAGAAGCAACATAACTGTGAAGATCACCGGGAGATCAATGGCATGGCCACTAAACATGTCAGATGACGAAGAAACATGGTCGGGTTGATTTCGGGTAGAACTGTTTGGAAAGCCACTATTGCTTTCAAACGGCGGTGCGCAACAAAATGGTATGTGTTGGTAGGTGACTCCCACAATCCGAATTTCTGGTACCCATGTTGAGTTCTGACATCAAGTCAGACACAACAAGGCAAATAGTGGTATGGTTTCCATTCCCAGTCATGGCTAGTTTATGACATTGTTTTACCCACATGAATAGTCATCACCATTAATAACCATTAGCAACCATTAATCACCATATAATTAATAGTCATCATGTTTCACCAATAATCACCAGATATAACCATTAATAACCATTAATACAATACCAAAACATGATATGTTCATGATCATCACATCAAGTGCAAGCGGCGAAGCGTTCGTGGGAATCATCGTCCTGCGGGGACCCAGTCATATCCCCTGGAACATATCCACATCAATAACCAACTTTATTAAACAACATTAATATCATGAAACAACAGCCTTTGATTTCAATGCCTCATTTTCTGCAGCACACGCAATAGTTGTTTAATGTTGTTTATTGATGATATGATGGTGCTGCTGCACCCGCGAAAAAATCGTGCTGTTGGTTGTGTTGTTGTTCTTTTTTGTCGTGATCATGTCACTTGAGCTGAGAAATCAAGAAAAACCAGCTTACGCAAGGCGAATTGCATTCTGAGAGGCACTTTGATTGTTTGTCCTAGAGTAAACAAACATAGAAGTGGAAAACCCATGGTTCCCCCGGAAGATCGTCTACAAATGGTTGATGAGTTACACATCTATGTGACTTCACCCCTATGGTAACTGGTACCATCCACAGAAAACGTATGGCCAACTTACTTCAGAAACGTCCAGGAAAAAGACACCTGTCCATGTATGACTAACACAACTTGACCTAACAACCGGAACAAACCAACCTTGAGAACCAGCCGGTCGGCCCTCACTTCACAGGACTTCTGGATCCGCGTAGGGAAAATGTCAATAGACTGAAGGCTTTTCGCAGATATTCAGTCATCTGACATGTAGGGAGACATATGTATCACGATCTGAACATTATGAGATTGGGTACAAAGCTTCGTATGTTTAAGTTGGTTGAAGTCGCTCAACAACAACATGTCAGTGGCCACCTGTGTGTTGTCAGTCTCCATCAGAACCCCAGGTAACGCTCGTTTAAAAAAAAAAAAAACTGACTGAATAGCCTTCTCAGCGATCCAATTGAACATCCCCTCTGGTATATTAACAGTTCGACCCTGGCAGTCATCTAGGGGTTTTATCAGATTCATTTCCATATTTTCCATGAAAAATGGGTGATTAAAACAGGCTCCAGCTGTTAATTTACCAGGGGATTCCATTGACATGTTTTTTGATGGTATGATCCCTCCAGTATCAAATGGCGACTCGACAAACCCAACCAGCCCCAAAAAAAGATATCGAAGCGTATTAATGGTGGTAGGACAACTTGTCTATGTATGTCTATTAAACATCATAGTCTACTAATATACACTTCTATATACTTCTCCATCTGACGTTGCGAATTACTCTTTACTGACTTGGCCATCTTAGAACATCAACACAATGGCTACAGCAAATTACATATTATTGCACAATATCACTTAAAATGTTGGAACCACATGTGTATTCTCAAATCATGTGTACAATAATTACATGGGAATGATTCTCTCCACTCCTTACTCCTTACCATATAATTTGCATGAATTATAATGACCTTACTGTGACGTTTCTGGAATGATGATTAGTAAGAGGAATCATCCCCAAATGGCCTTGGTTCAGATATGTTCAGATTAGTGAATCATTGTGACTCATCCATGATATCATGTATTGGCTTCATTCCGCCAGTTGCCATCACTGCCATCGCGGCTCCTTCCATGAACCAACCCCAGAATCACCGCACCGTCGATCTCTTTCCTCTGGGTGTCTGAAAACGGGAGAGCTGGGTCTGAAAATGGATGCAACATGATGCAATCCCCAATTCCAAGGAAACATATGCACTATGTATGTATATATATATATGTATATATATAATTATATATATATTATGTATATATATAAATATATCATACATATATATATATATTGACACATGATATACATATATATTGACATGTAAAAAAACACATGTTAAAACAATATGAAAACACGTGAACCATTGAACATATGTCCCACTAATACCTGGGTCCTGAAGAACTACGACTGCTAATCGGTATCCCAAAAAAAGAGCATGAAACCATTCGAGTGTCTTGGCTTTTGGGCTCCATGAGCCACTTGAGTCACTTGACTCTTGCCACCCAAATTGGGTATGATGAAAACTCAAGACATGCGAATACAGAGATTCTTGATCATTCTCAATATCTTTCAACTGTAGGAATGAATGAGATACAACACTGAAATACACTGAACAACATTTCAACCCATGCCCATTCTAAGTGTGTCTCAAAAATTGGCTACACCATGGCTCAACGCTCCGCTCACCGCGGCAGTGTTCCTATCGAGATGTGGTGTTCCCTGGATATGAGTTGGCTTAGAAACCCACTTAGCTATTTCGCAAAAAACACCATAACCCCTATACTGGTTGGTCGTATACCTACCCCTCTGAAAAATATGAGTTCATCAGTTGGGATGATGACATTCCCAATATGATGGGAAAAATGAAAGTCATGTTGCAAACCACCAACCAGTATAGTTAACCTAGTGAACTAAACCTGTACTAAAGCGACCTGGAGCACCATGTTGTAGACTCGTCCTGTACTTCTTGCAGGAGGCGCCGGCTCCAGTGGTGGGGCACTCTGTGAGGTACTTCCCAGTAAAAAAGAACGACCAGATTTGATGCCGTTGGGTCCTTGGCTGGCCATGGCTGGCCCAGGCTGGCCCAAGTTTGCACCTAGCTGCTGAAAAAACCTGGTCAATTTATGGATGGAGAGAGGATTGAGACTAAATCAGACTTAGATACACTTAGCAGAAATGAGGCCAAAGGTGGGTGTGTGTATACAGTATATAAATTGCATCTCTTATTTCAAATAACAGAAAATAAGATTCAACGATGCTCATCTAATTGATTGAAGTTAACATGAAACCTAGCGGAAATGTGCTTATCATTGCTTATCTAATTTTAAAGTTCAAAGTGCTTGTGGATGTCCCCTCTCTTTGTCTCAGTGGACAAGATCGGCGATGCCTTGATTGTCGATATGAAACCGCATGCTTTTGATGAGTAGCGGTTGATTTGATGAGACCTCATGAAGCTCCAACAATACTTTCAAGTAATGTGGCTAAACCCAATTTTAAACACAAAAAAGTCATCAGCATTTCGTGTTGGCTGGTAGAGAAAAACCATGCCCAGTCATGGTAGTTGTTTATGGCAGCCCGGGTGAATCCCACATGACAAGCTTCACATCCCCCACGTCCTCTTGCAACGCATCCAGATACGCTTGCGCCCGTGTGGCATCGCCGACCTCGAGGCTGGAGGCTCCGGAAAAAAAAAAGGCCCCCGGGGAATTTGTGGTGAGCCATGGTTCAGCATCTTTAAGCAGATTCCAAACATATTAGGCAGTACTAGTGTATCTATAGGCATTATGGATATATGATATATTAGATTCATTAAATAATCATTAGGTATGTGTGTGTATATGATATAATCAAATTACACATCAATCTCCAAGGCTGAAGCCGAATGTTTTTGACACATTGATTGTGCCTGACACTTGGGTCCCACTATCAAGAAGAGTGTAGGGCTTTGACCACACGAAGGATGTACTTTATCATACATGTATATTGGTCTAAGTTCAGGAAATCATGTTTTACTTTTTTTACCAGTAATTATTTTACCCATCATATTTTTACCAGTAATTATTTTACCAGTAATTATTTTTTTACCAGTAAAATCATGGTTTCCTGAATTATTTTACCCATCATTCGATTCTGTGATTCACTCAGCGTTCAGGGAACATGTCATGTAGCGGCAATCAAAGATGGCAAAGGACCGATAGGAATGAGAACACATATATCAATTCATACACAAATAACATCTATATTGATGAGATACAAGTCATATACAAATAACAATCTACAAAACATGCTGTGTATATACATATATTGTTAATATAGTATATATATATGAATTATATACAGTATATATATATATGTATTATTATATATATACTGTATATATATAATAACATATAATTACATGTATTTACACATATCCGATTGCAAACATCTGGCATCCTGCTGCCTCCTGGCTATGCTGGATGCCCTCCAGCAAGGCAGCCTCCATCACGGCCTCAGCTTGGCAAGCTTTGCCAAGTCATGGGGATGTCCTTGATGTGTATGACCCTTGGAAAAAGGGGGGATAGAAGATGATAGAACATGTAGAGCTTATTTATAACTGATGTATAACTGTTGTATAACCTATCTATATCTTATTTATCATTAATGGATGCTAAAATGTCCACACCAGTGTTTTTTTTTCTGGTTTTCTTTGTGCGGGATCTTTTGTCCACCGACATGTTTTTTGTGGTTGATGAACCCCGACGTAATCCGAAAATGAATCAGCTTCAAAAAGAGAAACCAGTGAGAAACACCAACACAGATGGTAAGCAGGCAACCCAACAAAACCTATAGGTGAACACGTATTAAATTGATCAAACAACACCATTAATTAAGTCAGAAACCATGGCGTTTTTCAATGGATCATGGGGGGTAGTATCTGGATCCCTGAGATCACCATGGGATACCATGGGGAAGCGGAACCGGATATCCTGAAGCAAACTATGTGTAAATCCCCAAGAAAACCTGGTTTCTTAGGGAACAAATATGAAACACATCCAGAGAAACATAGAAAAACCTATGGTTTCTGAGGGGTGAAGAAAACCTTAGATGGGACTAGTGAGACTAATTACCCGTTTCTGGTGTCCACCGTTGTCAAACTTTTGTTCTGCTGACGATAAATGTCACACACATCAATTGAACCGTTTTTGATTGACCGTAATTACTTTGCACTTCAGGAACTCTACTTCAAAAGTCTAAGTAGGTATCTCAGGGTCCTGCGGGTTTCTTAGCAGGACACAACACGAACATCAAGAGCGACCTTTAGGGTTTTTGTCCTCAAACCAATTCCCCGGTCCACACCTTGTTCCAAAAGAAGTCATTCGAGGTAGTCTCTTCCTGGGTCCAAATTGCTGAGGCCCCATGAACTGCCGCCAGCTCAACAAATACTGGGGTCATGCATAACCAGTCATAACTTCAGTGAAAGGGATTACAAGGGCCCCATACCCTAACAAACATGTGGTTTAGAATCCCATAGTTCTACTCATCAACCTATCACCCGAACTGATCATCAATGAAGCCTTGGCTATGCTTTTTGGCTCCAAAAGCGAATGAACCCCCGGCCGATCCAGCTGTAGTGCCTGAAGAAAAAAGGTATTGAGGCCAAAACTGTGAATGTATTAACAGTGTATGTATATATATATATATATACACATTATACATGATATTCATGTTACAAATAATATTAACGTTATGCATATAATATTTTAATGTTAGACATTTCATATCGTGTTTTCATGTTAGATACATTTATATACAATGTGTATATTTATTAATAGTGTATCACATCTTCAATATACACCTGGCGAACAGCCACTGGTGGAGCCGAAGAACCCAAAGATCACAGGTCCTTGGCTCGTTCTGCTGGAAATGGTCGTGTGGGGTGAACTATATATATAACCTGTTTATGATATATTAAATAGAATTATATATATATATATGATTATATATTATTATAGATGTATATATATAATACGTATATTATGTATATTGTGTAATGTCGGATTCAACACATGTTGAGGTTCTTGGAGTGTTTTCATGCACTTTCCTTGATTTTGATAAGTAGGAAGAGGTAGGTAACCCAGGTAGATGTAGAAAACCTGGGCGTTTCAGTGGCTTCAGGATCTTTGGAGAACATGTCGAGTGGATTTTTTGTGGCTGCCGACCCGACCCTCGATGTGACAGTTGGTCGTCGCTGCAAAAACTTCAAGTTTTGACCCATAGCCATAGCCTGGAAGATTTTGGGTGGTCTCATGTGGTCTCCACTCTAGAGTTGTGTCAAAGGTCAATGCTGGACATTTCAATGACAGCTTTTCAAAAAAGGGACATCCCCAGCGATAGAAACTTACTTCGGCATGGCCATCCCGGAGTCGGGTTTGCTATGGATACGAGATGATACGAGTACCCCATGGCCCCATGGTATGACAACTTTGAACGTTCGGAACGAGCTCAGTTGTGGGATTTGAGAGTTAACTCCTATTTTTCTTCCAAATCAACGCAGTCACTCTTCAACCAAGACACACTTTGTTCAAGTTGCGAGTGCCATCTTTTTGCTTCCTGAGCTCGGCACTTCGTCCAGCAACTTATACGAAGTGATCATTGATCATGGGAACCCCCAGCCATTGATGTGTTTGGCCCTTTTCGTTTGTTCGTCATGTTGTGTTGTCCCGAAAAATCCAGGAAGCCAATCTTTCATGATCGCAAGTAAGGATGGAACATGACGCCTGTATCTGAAATTCTTCGAACCGGTAACAACTTACAGAAAATTATATAAAAATAATACACCGTCCATTATGTCTCTTGGTTCAATGTTTGGTAAATCCTCACTTTCTATTGCTTTTATTAAGCCACTTGCTTTTGCTGGTGAAGTCCCAGTTTGTTGGCAAAGCTGGACGGTCTTTTGTCTGGATATTTTAAGGCCAAGCTACGCAATGAGCCAATCTAAATCCTTCTTGGCCAGATCCCACAACTTGCCTCGGAGACGAAGCGAACACTTTTAGCTCTGGCATCTCTGGACGATCCCCCCCCAGTTTCATCTCCCGCCTGCATATTTTCTCCATAGCCGTCCTGCTTGCATCAGGCTTCGTGCTCGCAACGGAGGGCCATCGGTTTGTGGTCGACACCAGCCCAGTGCGTAGGGTTCAGCCTCACACGGGGTGTCATATGCAAACTGGATGCTGGTATATTGAACCAGAAAAAACGCCTCATTTCGGCCAACATCACCAAGGTTTCAGGCTTCAAAAACTAGTTTTTGTTGGTTTTGGTGTTTAGGTCTTAGGGGTTCCTATGATATTTAAATGGTCTTGAGGATTTAGGGTTTGAGTAAAGTTCTAGGGTTTTAAGATGTTTTAAGTATTAGGGTGTTGGGGTTCAGGATGACTTGTGCAATGAGGCACAGTTCACCTACATGAGCTTTTCCGGAATCCTAGCATCCCTAGCCCCAATCATAACTGGACTAACCATACTTACTTACTGGTATTACTTATGACCAAAGAACGAAGATGTGTCTTCACTTACGCAAGGTCGCCGAATCTCACTTGTTCGAGACCTTGAATCTTGATCGCTCTGCGTTTGAACATGCAAATGCCCGTCCAGCAAGAAGCTCCACTTCGTTTCTGACCACTGGAATGTAGCTCTTCAATGAACACAGCAGCGAAAACTTTTGTGCATTGACCCAATAGGTTAATGATAATGATCAACAATCAAAGTGTTTTCGTCCTGATTCACCACCCATGTCGGATATATATATAAAACCTTGGCAGGATGTGTTCGTCTGGGACATGTGCCAGTCAAACAGATTGCACCTTTGTAAACCGAAACATCTGTGAAGTAGATGCAAGCGTTGTTGTCCATGTCGAGCGGGTGCTGTCGAGAAGTTTCCGCTATGACCCACTTACTAAGTGGGGTGAGCCACACAAGTATAATTACATGACTAAACATTTTTCGGGTGAATGTTGGTACAGGTACGTATCTAAGATTTGAGCCATAGTGTTGGGAGATTTGTGGAGATAAGTGGCAAAAAATGCGGAGATTGCATGGTTGACAGAACATGTGGAATGAATCCAGAGAACATGCGCGCAACACTATGCGACACTAGGTCACTAGGGTTTAAAAAAAACGAAGATCGTGTGATGAAAGGCCATCCTCAGTGCCAATCAGCCCATTTGGGGATTTATCCACTGGTAAACTAACATAACTATGGAAAATCACCATTTTTAATGGGAAAACTCACTATAAATTGCCATTTTCAATAGCTATGTTAAATTACCAGAGGGTATCCACTTTACGTTTTCAACAAAAAGCTGGGCATTTTACAATTATTGTGGACAACCTTCTCATGGCTGGTCTTGATCATTCATGGAAACAAGCATTCCATTATGAAATTGCGGTATATCATATCTCATGATTGTACTTTCCTACTCCCTCGTGGAGAATTGTCCCATTCAAACCTCCATTTATAGATGAATTTCCCATAAAACCCTTCATTTATAGATGATTTGAACCTTGCCACGAGGGGTATATATTCATGATCATTTATAGATAGTGGAAGGTTAATAGTGATATTATCTGGTATTTACTCATGATCATCATTTATAGTCAACCAATCACCCACTGAGCCTTCTGAATGTTCCACTTGGGTTCATCGATCGTACTGGATCCTCGCTCGTGGAGCAGCTCCACCTTGGCGCCATCGAACTGTGTCACGACTGTCATGACCAATGTGTTTTTAAAAACAGGAGGGACACACATAAATGGATAAATCCTCATCATACATAGTAAATCCATACATAATATATATATACAGTAGTTATATTTGTATGTATGTATATATTTATATATGTATTCATATATATATATGCTATATAATATGATATTATATGATCTGGTATTATATCATATTATATAATATCATATCATATTATATACTTATATCATATATAAACATATTCAACCATAAATAAGGACAAAGTCATAACTATAAATTATGCTTGTTTGTTAAAGATTAGGAATTACCAACATTAATTAAATGAACCACACTCCCTAAATCTTGGCCTTTCAAATCTTCCACGCTGAGCTTCCGCGGAGGGAAGGCTCATGGTTGGGAGATAAGCAACGCAAAATGCGGATGTGAACCCCCAACTGTGTATGCTCTGGGGTTAACATTGTAATTATGTAGAATATATGAATATGTGTATATATATATTATAAAATCATGTATGACATTATACTAAACAATATCTAAAGACGACAAGCTTTTTGTGGCTCCACTTGGTACAAAAAACATGGTCCATGCTCCATGCCCAAATCGCCCCATGGTCGATCTCGGAAGTGCTGTGTCCAGTGGTATCCCAGGAGCCTTTCGAATCACTAGGATTCCACCCTGAAAAACATCACTGGGAAGCGCTTGATTTGCGGTGATGAACGACAGCATGAAAAAAAAACAATCAAAAACACAACTCTTCTTGGGTAACACGACTTGCAACTAGACCTACTAAATTATCTCCACGGCCACTAGCTACTCCAAGCACTTTGGAAGTAGGGATGAGGGTCCAAGTAACCAACCTTGGGAATACTATAGCAGGCTCACGTTCTTCTACTATCAATTTAGCAGGCTTGTGAGGACTTTTGCCAGATATGAACCTTATTATATATCATATTTATTCAGCATTGATGTGGTGATTTTGGGGTAACCAGCTTTGAGCGACCAGCCGGAACAAAACAAATAAGCGGAAACCCAACATAGCCCAACATAGCCCAACATCTATATAACTTATTGAGTGAATTCAATCGAGTTCTGAGCAGTGGAAGGTTAAACAAATCCCCAGTTGCTGGATGTTGCTTGATTATCTTGGGGAAAATATCACCCAAAGTGCCATCGTTTTTTTGGGTCAACAATATCTGAGACATGTTTTGTGGTTTCAACGCAGTACCTCGATAAATCATCCATTTTATAAAGCCATTTCCATTTTTGAGGGATGGAACATACCTATATACAACTTCAAACCACCAAAACCAGATATGAATGCCTGCCAAACACCCAGTCAACGTACTGCAGGAAGGTTATCTCCATCTCGCTTGCAGGCAAAGCGTAAAGATCCGCAGCATGCCTGATTTGCCATGCTGAAGTCTTGGGTTGAAGGACGGGCAGCACATAGCCAAAAATGTTGATTCTAAGATGTTTTGAACATACCTCTGGAGCATACCCCAAATCCCTCCAACAAGCCACATGATTTTGGGAATCCCGTCAACCATCTGTGGCAAAAGCTATCCTTGGTGCGGAGTGCGGGGTCTCTTGGAATTTTCATAGTCATAGTTTATAGTTTGATGCCTTGGAAAAATGGGCCTTTGCGGATTTTTAATTGTACTTCCTAGTCTATAATAATGGCTGTACCTCTCTTGAAAGTAAATCCTTTCTCTTTGGAGGTCATACACCAGCTACATGCAGTGTGTATATATATAATATAATATATATATATATAATATATATATGACAATTCATATGTATATGTGTATATATGAATTGTGTACATGAATGCACATGCATAGGATGTTATATGATACACACCATCCATATGAATATATGAACATATCCAGTTATCCAGGAAACAAAAACGGGTGGTTTTTCACCATATTTACCAGGCCCCAACATACCAGTAGCAGGCCAGAGCACAAGAAAGCTGACATACTCAAGGCGCCATCACGTATCCTGATGCCAAGAACATCCGATGCCCTGTTACTGGTGGGTGATCAATGAACTGACCCCCAAACATCTTTGCTACGACTGGAAATTAAAAAAAACGGTTTTCATAAGCCCAGTGAACAAAAGCACGTTTTTAAACATGGAATCACATGTAATCATATGTACTCTAATTATATCTGGATTTTAGCTATAGAATCTGCATGGTTCATCAGCTTTGGGTTTCTTGTGGCCAAGTTGATCTGCGCAAATCGCCTCTAGCAATCTAGAAAAAAACGCAGCCACATGGAAAATGACCCGTAAAAATTGGTGCTTTACTGCCTAGACATGGTGTTCATAGCAAACTGGTAGATTGCCAGAAAAAAAGTCATCAACAACCCATGAACTTCAGGACTTGTTCCACATCTACCAATACGGATCTTCCCAATGACCAGTTTTCCTTCCACCCCCATGGTGGCCGGGCCCGGCTGCTGCCGTGCATCCAGTGATAGCGATATCCACCGGGCAGTGTAGGTCCAAGCGCCGGCGTCGCTCCGGGAGATGCGATGATGGCACCAGTTCCTCGCCCCAGAACGAAGGGATGGTTGGTTGGTTAACAGACCCAAATGGGACAGACCTGGACAGATGGTGGATTTATGGATGTTTCTGGTCGATTTATCATGATATATGTAAATATCCAGTTCTATAGTATGTATATATATATATATATAACATGGATGTTCGACATGGGGGTTATAACCAACTTATGACTGGGGCTCACCTTGTAATAACTTGTCCCTACAACTTTTTGAGGTCCTAAGAAATTGGTCAACCCAGCTACTAAATAGGCTGATCCTCCAAGTATCAAAGGGGATACTTAGTGATCCCCTTTGTATCAAACCAACAGGAATGCTTTGGGTGCAGCAGTCATAACTATGGCATAACCATAGCTGTGATTTTGTGCCCATCAGTTGGGACGGCACCAATGCTGGCCAGAAAGCCGCCCACTTCAAAGGTCTGCCAGCATTGTAATAGCTTGTACTGCTGGATAAGTCTTCATAGGTTTGCAATAGCTCTGGGATATGCTCATATTCATATGCAACTCTGGGATATGTGTAGAGCAACCCCAACAAAAAAAATTAAAATGCCGAAAGGTGAGTTGTCACTATTTTAACGGGTTTGCTATACTGAATATCAAGCCTGTTCTATCCTGGCTGTTCAAGAGGGGATGACCTTCTCTAAATCTCATTCATACTGGAGCCCCAAACATCAGATTTGACCATGTTTCCTTTCACACAAGTTTCTAAGTTGCAGCCTGTGGACAGAAGTGAAGCTTAAACATTTCTACCAAGCCATCCAGTTTTTTTCACCCCAAAAATCCGCCGACCCCGGCCGACGGCAAGGGGGAGCGCGTCAGGGCAGAGAGGTTGTAACAACACCAACACCAACACCAACGCCAACACCAACAATAACAACAACAACAACAACAAGAACAACAACAACAACACCTTCAGAGGCATGGTGTTTTCCGCCCGGGAGGAGGTGATTTTTTCGAAGCTGTTTTACTGCCGCACCCGCAGGCAACAGAAGCTGTCGAAAAATGTTGTTTTTCCAGAATTTCAGACGACACGTTAGGCAGTTTTTTGGCGTGGTTTTGGAACTAGCTCGTCCTTCAGAAGCATGGGGTTTTCCCCCGGGAGGTGAGTTGGCGTTTCAGCGTTTCGAGTGGTGTCCATACACCAACACCAACACCAACACCAACACCAACAACAACACCAACAACAACAACAACAACAACAACAACAACAACAACAACAAGAACAACAACAACAACAACGACAACGACAACAACAACAACAACACCTTCAGAGGCATGGTGTTTTCCGCCCGGGAGGAGGTGATTTTTTCGAAGCTGTTTTACTGCCGCACCCGCAGGCAACAGAAGCTGTCGAAAAATGTTGTTTTTCTAGAATTTCAGACGACACGTTAGGCAGTTTTTTGGCGTGGTTTTGGGACTAGCTCGTCCTTCAGAAGCATGGGGTTTTCCCCCGGGAGGTGAGTTGTTCGAAGCTGTTTAGCTGCAGCAGGCGCAGGCAAAAGCAGCCGCAGGCAACAGAAGCTGTCGAAAAATGTTGTTTTTCTAGGATTTCAGACGACACGTTAGGCAGTTTTTTGGCGTGGTTTTGGACCTAGCTCATCCTTCAGAGGCAGGGTGTTTTCCCCCGGGAGGTGATTTTTTGTAGGGTTTCAGAAACAACATTAGGTACTTTTCCCGGTCACTTTTGGAGCGTTTTGGGCACGAAATTAGGTGGCGTTTCAGCGTTTCGAGTGGTGTCCATACACCAACAGCTGTCGAAAAATGTTGTTTTTCTAGGATTTCAGACGACACGTTAGGCAGTTTTTTGGCGTGGTTTTGGACCTAGCTCGTCCTTCAGAGGCAGGGTGTTTTCCCCCGGGAGGTGATTTTTTGTAGGGTTTCAGAAACAACATTAGGTACTTTTCCCGGTCACTTTTGGAGCGTTTTGGGCACGAAATTAGGTGGCGTTTCAGCGTTTCGAGTGGTGTCCATACACCAACACCAACACCAACACCAACAACAACAACAACAACAACAACAACAACAACACCTTCAGAGGCATGGTGTTTTCCGCCCGGGAGGAGGTGATTTTTTCGAAGCTGTTTTACTGCCGCACCCGCAGGCAACAGAAGCTGTCGAAAAATGTTGTTTTTCTAGAATTTCAGACGACACGTTAGGCAGTTTTTTGGTGTGGTTTTGGAACTAGCTCGTCCTTCAGAAGCATGGGGTTTTCCCCCGGGAGGTGAGTTGTTCGAAGCTGTTTAGCTGCAGCAGGCGCAGGCAAAAGCAGCCGCAGGCAACAGAAGCTGTCGAAAAATGTTGTTTTTCTAGGATTTCAGACGACACGTTAGGCAGTTTTTTGGCGTGGTTTTGGACCTAGCTCGTCCTTCAGAGGCAGGGTGTTTTCCCCCGGGAGGTGATTTTTTCTAGGGCTTCAGAAACAACATTAGGTACTTTTCCCGGTCACTTTTGGAGCGTTTTGGGCACGAAATTAGGTGGCGTTTCAGCGTTTCGAGTGGTGTCCATGAGTCGAGCTGTTGCAGCTGACGTCAAAGCGACAGGACGCGACAAGACAGTTGTCACAAAGGCAGGCAAAAGATCTTTTTTTCTAGGCTTTGAGGGCAGGCAAAAGATCTTTTTTTCTAGGGTTTTAGAAGCAACGTTAGGCACTTTTCCCAGTCCCTTTTGGAGCGTTTTTGGCATGAAATTAGGTGGCGTTTCAGCGTTTCGAGTGGTGTCCATGAGTCGAGCTCGGCAACGGCAGCAACCTTCTAGTATGCTTCAGTTCCCTCATGTCTTCAGTTCTAGTAGGATTCCAGAAGTCAGCGGCAATGGCAGTAGCAGCGGCAGCAGCAAGTCCGCAGCAGCGGCAACGGCAGCAGCCTTCTAGTATCCTTCATCAGTTCCCTCAAGTCTTCACTTCAGTTCTAGTAGGATTCCAGAAGTCACGTTAGAGAGTTTTTTGGTGCGATCCTGTGGCCCGTTCGTCCTTCTGTGCCCTGCTGTTTTGGTGCCGGGAGGTGCTTTTGGTACACTTCTGTCAGCAGCAGCAGCAGTAAGAGCAGCGGCAGTGGCAGTAGCAGCGGCAGTAGCAAGTCCAGCAGCAGCAACAGCAGCAGCGGCAACGGCAGCAGCCTTCTAGTCTCCTTCATCAGTTCCCTCAAGTCTTCAGTTCTAGTCGGATTCCAGAAAGTCCAGCAGCAGCGGCAGTGGCAACGGCAGCAGCTTTCTAGTGTCCTTCATCAGTTAGTTCCCTCAGGTCTTCAGTTCTAGTAGGATTCCAGAAGTCACGTTAGAGAGTTTTTCGGTGCGATTCTGTAGCCTGTTCGTCCTTCGGTGCCCTGCTGTTTTGGTGCCGGGAGGTGCTTTTTGGTGGCAGCAGCCTAGTATCCATCAGTTCCCTCAGGTCTTCAGTTCTAGTAGGATTCCAGATGTCACGTTAGAGAGTTTTTCGGTGCGATTCTGTAGCCTGTTCGTCCTTCCGTGCCTTGCTGTTTTGGTGCCGGGAGGTGCTTTTGATACACTTCTGTCAGCGGCAGCACCAGCAGCAGCAGCTGCAACGGCAGCAGCCGTCTAGTATCCTTCATCAGTTCCCTCAGGTCTTCAGTTCTAGTCGGATTCCAGAAGTCACGTTAGAGAGTTTTTCGGTGCGATTCTGTGGCCTGTTCGTCCTTCCGTGCCCTGCTGTTTTGGTGCCGGGAGGTGCTTTTGGTACACTTCTGTCAGCAGCAGCAGCAGTAAGAGCAGCGGCAGTGGCAGTAGCAGCAGGAGCAACGGCAGCAGCAAGTCCAGCAGCAGCAGCAGCGGTAACGGCAGCAGCCTAGTATCCATCAGTTCCCTCAGGTCTTCAGTTCTAGTAGGATTCCAGAAGTCACCTTAGAGAGTTTTTCGGTGCGATTCTGTGGCCTGTTCGTCTTTCCGTGCCCTGCTGTTTTGGTGCCGGGAGGTGCTTTTGGTACACTTTTGTCAGCGGCAGCACCAGCAGCAGCAGCAACGGCAGCAGCCGTCTAGTATCCTTCATCAGTTCCCTCAGGTCTTCAGTTCTAGTAGGATTCCAGAAGTCACGTTAGAGAGTTTTTCGGTGCGATTCTGTAGCCTGTTCGTCCTTCCGTGCCTTGCTGTTTTGGTGCCGGGAGGTGCTTTTGATACACTTCTGTCAGCAGCAGCAGCAGCTTTTGGTATATTTCTGTCAGCAGCAGCAGTAAGAACAGCAGCAGCAGCAGCAGTAAGAGCAGCAGCAGTGGCAGTAGCAGCGGCAGCTGCAAGTCCAGCAGCAGCAGCAGTAGCAGCGGCAACGGCAGCAGCCTTCTAGTCTCCTTCATCAGTTCCCTCAGGTCTTCAGTTCTAGTAGGATTCCAGAAGTTAGGATTTCAGAAGGGACGTTAGGGACTTTTTAAATGCGATTCGGCGTCATTTCCGGTACGAAATTAGCTCCTGCTGCTGCTGCTGGCACTGCTGCTGCCGCTGCTACTGCTGACAGAAGTGTACCAAAAGCACCTCCCGGCACCAAAACAGCAGGGCACGGAAGGACGAACAGGCCACAGAATCGCACCGAAAAACTCTCTAACGTGACATCTGGAATCCTACTAGAACTGAAGACCTGAGGGAACTGATGGATACTAGGGCTGCTGCCGTTTGCCGTACTGTGCCGGGAGGTGCTTTTGGTACACTTCTGTTAGCGGCAGCACCAGCAGCAGCAGTAGCAGCAACGGCAGCAGCCGTCTAGTATCCTTCATCAGTTCCCTCAGGTCTTCAGTTCTAGTAGGATTCCAGAAGTCACGTTAGAGAGTTTTTCGGTGCGATTCTGTGGCCTGTTCGTCCTTCCGTGCCCTGCTGTTTTGGTGCCGGGAGGTGCTTTTGGTACATTTCTGTCAGCAGCAGCAGCAGCAGCAGCAGCAAGAGCAGCGGCAGTAGCAAGTCCAGCAGCAGCAGCAGTAGCAGCGGCAACGGCAGCAGCCTTCTAGTCTCCTTCATCAGTTCCCTCAGGTCTTCAGTTCTAGTAGGATTCCAGAAGTCACGTTAGAGAGTTTTTCGGTGCGATTCTGTGGCCTGTTCGTCCTTCTGTGCCCTGCTGTTTTGGTGCCGGGAGGTGCTTTTGGTATACTTCTGTCAGCAGTAGCAGCGGCAGCAGCAGCGCCAGCAGCAGCAGCAGGAGCATCGGCAGCAGCAAGTCCAGCAGCAGCAGCAGCGGCAACGGCAGCAGCCTAGTATCCATCAGTTCCCTCAGGTCTTCAGTTCTAGTAGGATTCCAGATGTCACGTTAGAGAGTTTTTCGGTGCGATTCTGTAGCCTGTCCGTCCTTCCGTGCCTTGCTGTTTTGGTGCCGGGAGGTGCTTTTGATACACTTCTGTCAGCGGTAGCACCAGCAGCAGCAGCAGCAACGGCAGCAGCCGTCTAGTATCCTTCATCAGTTCCCTCAGGTCTTCAGTTCTAGTAGGATTCCAGAAGTCACGTTAGAGAGTTTTTCGGTGCGATTCTGTGGCCTGTTCGTCCTTCCGTGCCCTGCTGTTTTGGTGCCGGGAGGTGCTTTTGGTATACTTCTGTCAGCAGTAGCAGCGGCAGCAGCAGCGCCAGCAGCAGCAGCAGGAGCAACGGCAGCAGCAAGTCCAGCAGCAGCAGCTGTGGCAACGGCAGCTGCCTTCTAACAGTTCCCTCAAGTCTTCAATTCTATAGTAGGATTCCAGAAGTCACGTTCGAAAGTATTTCGGTGCGATTCTGTAGCCTGTTCGTTCTTCCGTGCCTTGCTGGTTTGGTGCCGGGAGGTGTTTTGGGTACACTTCTGTCAGCAGCAGCAGTAAGAACAGCAGCGGCAACAGCAGTAAGAGCAGCGGCAGTGGCAGTAGCAGCGGCAGCAGCAAGTCCAGCAGCAGCGGCAGTGGCAACGGCAGCAGCTTTCTAGTGTCCTTCATCAGTTAGTTCCCTCAGGTCTTCAGTTCTAGTCTAGGATTCCAGAAGTCACGTTAGAGAGTTTTTTGGTGCGATTCTGTGGCCTGTTCGTCCTTCCGTGCCTTGCTATTTTGGTGCCGGGAGGTGCTTTTGGTACACTTCTGTCAGCAGCAGCAGTAAGAACAGCAGCAGCCGTCTAGTATCCTTCATCAGCTCCCTCAAGTCTTCAGTTCTCATAGGATTCCAGAAGTCACGTTAGAGAGTTTTTTGGTGCGATTCTGTGACCTGTTCGTCCTTTCGTGCCTTTCTGTTTTGATGCCGGGAGGTGCTTTTCGTACTCTTCTGTCAGCGGCAGCATTAGCAGCAACGGCAGCAGCCGTCTAGTATCCTTCATCAGTTCCCCCAGGTCTTCAGTTCTAGTAGGATTCCAGGAGTCACGTTAGAGAGTTTTTCGGTGCGATTCTGTAGCCTGTTCGTCCTTCCGTGCCTTGCTGTTTTGCTGTCGGCAGGTGCTTCTTTTGCTCTTCTGTCAGGATGTGTTCCATTTTGTTCGACGGCACGTGCGGCCATTCGGTTGCTTATGCTTGATTTGAATTCGTCCTGACTTTATGGTACTTCGGACAGAAGTTCCACAAGTAGGGCATGCATGCGAATAACGCTGCGTGGGCAATATGGGCCGGAGTAGCCCATCATGTACGCGAAATTGTTTCCCACAAATGCGTCGGTGGTCGATGTGTCCGGAAGCAATTGGAGTTGTAATTAAATCGTGGCAAAAAGGATACGTGTACACATAAAGCCGCTGCTGTGGTGCTGCTGCGGATGCTTGCAAGGCTTGATTCAGATTTTCTTTGGTTACCGTCTTTTCTTGTGCGAAGTGGGGCCTCGTCATCTCGTCTGCGTCTTTTCTTGCACCTGTCGCGGGCTGACCTGTGCGTCTTTGTCGCTGTTGGGCAATTGCTTCCCAAGTCTCGCGCAGCACTTGATCGTGGCGCAATTTTTTCCGCAGCGGTTCCAGGCGGGCTCGGCCGGAGCTGGCAGCACGTTTGCGGAGCTTGCCTTGCACGAGCGCGGCGTGGCACGCATCGCATGTCTGCGTGCCATCTCGTCCAGAAGGCCGTTTTGCAACGAAGGTAGAAAATTGTTGTCGTGACTTCCGTAAGTGACACGATGCACACCTCCATGTGCCCCGGGATTTCGATTGGCATTGAAGGCACGTTCTTCGCTGTGGGTCCTTTGTTTTCCATGCTCCGGCACCGAAATATTCTTTAGTTTGTTTTTTGTTACAAACGACACATGTCTTGACGGCATCACAAGACAAGCAAACGCGATACATGCTCCACCGCGGGTTTTGGTGCTTTGACGCAAAGTGTGCCGCGGCGTGCCACAGGCCGCACTGGGTGCACCGATATGGTGTGCCGGCCTCGCGCTTCTGCGCGGTGCATTCTTTGCACACGCGGTAGGTTTCCTGTTTCCATTGTGCTTTGGTGAACGCATCTTTGCGCTTTATCTCCCCACATTCGTGGCACGGCCTTTCATCCAGGTATTTCTTGCGCAACGCGTCCCAGTCCACCGGCTCCTGCTTCCACACGTCCAGAAGAAGTTGCCGTCCGAGAGGGAGGCCTTGTTGAAAAGGTGCCAGCGGGAACGGACGGTAGATCAAGATCTTCTGTCGTGTACGGCTCCGCGTCATACCGACGTACGCTGCAAGTGGGTCCACGCAGCAGAGATCGGGGATGACGCCCGGCTCTGCGGTGCTCCCCTGTGCACCATGGAATGTGTCGGCAAAGTCCGGTGCCAGCGGGAATTGATACCGCGTTACCTTGAGCTTTGGCGTCGTGCGTCCAGCATCCAGAAACCATTCCTTGCTTTGCACGCTGACTGGGAAAACATTTTCTGCGTCCACCCCAG